TTTTCCTGAAAGTTTCAGTTCAAAATGTGAATTTTAAAAGGTTGCTCACATAATTTTTTTTTAATTTATTAGTGACTATTTAATTGGATTAGCATTTTTTGACTGAAATTTACAAAAAATTACGAGCGACCTTTCTAAATTTAAATTTTGAATTGAAACTTTCAGGAACTTATTTTTTTTTTTTGGTCTGTAAAATTATGACGTAACGAGAAAAAAAATTTTCGATTTTTGACGATTTTTAAAATTTAAAAAAAATTTGGAGCGACCTCTTAAAAATTTTTTTTTGAACTGTTCTTTGGAGAGGGCTCTTAAAACATCAAAAACTGACATTTTTTCATTCGAGACTAAAAAAAAAAATAATCGGTTTTTTTGCGCCACCCTACTACAGATAAATACTGAAATATAAAATTATACATTGATAAAAAATTGACCTTGACTCGAGAAAAAAATAATTGGTAAAAGAACATAATTTTAAAAAATTATCCGAAAATTTTTTAATTTTTCATAAACACAATTTTATAAGTTTACATCGATAGTTTTTAAGGTTCTCTATATTTTTTATAATTAACTTTAGCTACTTTTATTATCTTATAAAAATAAGCATAATTTTTATTTTTATTATTTTCATAGACTAAATTTTTCTTCTATTACTTATTCCTTTTTAATAGCTGGCCATTCTAAAGAAATCCTGATTCATATGAACCCAAGCCGATCAACTATTATTTCAAAAGTCAATTTTTAGGATGAAATTTAAAAAAATGCGTAGATTGGTACCTTTTAAATTTATTTTTGCTATCAGAATTGTTTATTAAGTGTTGCTTAAAAATAATATAAAATAATAATATACCACTAACGTTATTTTCTGTTTTTAATTAACAGCCTAATCAATGACATTCGACATAAATGGAGTGAAAAATCTACAGAAGAAAGAGGTAACAAAAATGAAGAACAGATATGCGAAAAAACTTCACAGATTAATTCACCGAGCTCATCGAAAAAAAATCCACCACTCAGAAAATTTTTTTCTAAACCTTTAGAAAAAAATAACAGTTTTGTTCTTTCTAAGTATTGGGTTAAATCAGAGAGTGATAGTGATTAAGTCCTTCAAACCTTTAATACGTAGCATATTCATTTTAATTATCTTCCGAGAATTTTTTGAGTCTTAAAAATTAATATTTTGAATTACTTAATTGTTAAATATGTCAGTGATTATTATTGTTAATTTATTTCAAAGTATTCATATTATGTCTTTTAATTTCGTATCATTATAAAATATTAGTTTTTAGAATAACAGTTATTGTTATTGGTTTCTCATTTTATTGTTTATTAGAATATTTAGTAAAGATTCGATAAAAAAAAAAAAACTATTTTGAATGTAAATAGGTATGATTGTCGGGTTAAATTTTTTTTTCAATCGTAAATTTTACAAAATTACTTATAAGCTTCAGTGCAATTTCAATTTTTCAAAATTATTAATTAAGACTGTAGAAAAATCAATTTGGATGGAAATTTTTTCAATTATAAAAATAAGTTAATTTAAATCTTCATAATTTTCTCAACAATTTCTTCAATAAAACAATTTTTGTTAGGATATTATTATGTAATATGAGTCAAATTTTCCGTAAATTAAGCGAATGATATTTTTTTTTTTTATTTTTTTTCTATTTATTAAAAATACTTTTAAATTGTTATTATCATTTCTTCTTCCAAAAAATGCTTGTAAAATTTTTATCATAGAAGATTAATTTCCTTAAAAAAAATATTCTTTAACATTTTATGATACTGAAACTGAGAGACTCCGATCAGTTTTAGAATTTTTTTAAAAAAAGTAATTATGTAATGAAAAAATTTATAAAAAATGTTGTAATACTTGATAAAATAATGTAATTGCAGAATTAGCAAACATTAAATTTTTTTGAAAATAAAGAAGAAATAAATTCATAAACTTTAATGATACTGAAATTGAGACGACTGAAAGTCTTTATAAATTTTTTAATTAACAAATTATAGCAAAAAAAATTAATTTAAAAAATTCCATCTTTAGAAGCTCTAAAAAATTATTAATGCAATTTTCTATGAATAATTTTTTTATATCTAGTTTATTATTCAAGAAAAATTAAAAGATTGTTGTGTCTGCCAATTTCAATGTCATTAAAATTTACAATCTTTTTTTTATTTCAAAATTTATTCCATAAAATTTTTATTATTGCTAAGAATGGTTTAAATATTTGATATTACAGCGAATATATTGGCCTTATAAAAAAAATTTTGAAACATAAGTTGTGGAAAATTAAATTTTTTAAAAAAATGTCATGATTTTTTTATACAATTAAAACTTTCACCGTAATTTCAGAATTAAGATTCGTAATGAATGGTTTAAATTCTTAATTGCCAGCTATGAAAATTTTAATTTTGAAATTACAGCTTTCTATTGGCCCTAAGAAGAAATCATAAGGGACATTTTTTTCATAAAATTAAATTTTTTACGTTTATTCACAATAAAAATTAATTAGCCGACATCTGAAAATTTTTGTAACTTATTTTATTGAAAAATTATTTTAAAAAAAATTAAAATAAAAAATTTCACATGTAGAAAATTTTAAAAATTGTACGTGCAATTTTTTGAAAATATTTTTTTAGTTATAATTTAATTAAAATAAAAAATCAAACATTTTTTAACTTCAGCTAATTTTAGTATCATTTAATAATTAATTAATTATTAATTGTTAGTTTAAAATTAAAGCAAAAATCAAAAAACCGCCTTATCTTCTTTGTATTATGATGCAAATTTTTTTTTTCTATTATTAGAGATGGCACCACTGTTTTTTATTATTAAAAAGTGGGGATGATACATATGGACGTAAAAACACTAATCACTTAATCAGCGTCCATTTTCTATTATAAAATTTTAACCCAGTAATTTTGATAAAATTTATATTAAAAAACAATGAATTCGCCAAATAAAAATAGAAACATTACAAAAACGCAATTAACTGAGAAGCTAAAAGCTGATATTGATATTTTGACCAACGATCTGAAAAAAACGTTGACCAATCTTGAAAATTTACAATCTTTTTTTTATTTCAAAATTTATTCCATAAAATTTTTATTATTGCTAAGAATGGTTTAAATATTTGATATTACAGCGAATATATTGGCCTTATAAAAAAAATTTTGAAACATAAGTTGTGGAAAATTAAATTTTTTAAAAAAATGTCATGATTTTTTTATACAATTAAAACTTTCACCGTAATTTCAGAATTAAGATTCGTAATGAATGGTTTAAATTCTTAATTGCCAGCTATGAAAATTTTAATTTTGAAATTACAGCTTTCTATTGGCCCTAAGAAGAAATCATAAGGGACATTTTTTTCATAAAATTAAATTTTTTACGTTTATTCACAATAAAAATTAATTAGCCGACATCTGAAAATTTTTGTAACTTATTTTATTGAAAAATTATTTTAAAAAAAATTAAAATAAAAAATTTCACATGTAGAAAATTTTAAAAATTGTACGTGCAATTTTTTGAAAATATTTTTTTAGTTATAATTTAATTAAAATAAAAAATCAAACATTTTTTAACTTCAGCTAATTTTAGTATCATTTAATAATTAATTAATTATTAATTGTTAGTTTAAAATTAAAGCAAAAATCAAAAAACCGCCTTATCTTCTTTGTATTATGATGCAAATTTTTTTTTTCTATTATTAGAGATGGCACCACTGTTTTTTATTATTAAAAAGTGGGGATGATACATATGGACGTAAAAACACTAATCACTTAATCAGCGTCCATTTTCTATTATAAAATTTTAACCCAGTAATTTTGATAAAATTTATATTAAAAAACAATGAATTCGCCAAATAAAAATAGAAACATTACAAAAACGCAATTAACTGAGAAGCTAAAAGCTGATATTGATATTTTGACCAACGATCTGAAAAAAACGTTGACCAATCTTGAAACTGCTGCAGAATTTGAAGGTGCAGAAGAGAAAATACGTAGCTTGAAAAATAAACCCTGCAAAATATTAAAATTAGTAGACTATCTGAAGATAATGAAGTATTTAAAAAAAGATTTGAATGAGATTGAAAAAAAATGCGGTGAGTTTATACGAGACGTCAGTAAATTTCAAGTTGAGTCTGTTGGGGTTGGTGAACTGATAAGTCTATACGCATCAGAAGATGAAGATACTACCAATTCTGTGAGTATGGATGGCACCGACCAATTATCCCAGTCCTTTAAAGATGTCTTAATTTCATCAAACGCTGACGCATCTAATCTACTGCAAGCGGATTCTGTTCAGCCTCTTTTGATTTCAATAAAATTAGAGAATTTTACTCACGACTCGCAAAGTTTTTTTACATCATCTCCCAGGTAATTTCTTTTTTTTATGACATTAAAGTTAGTTGTCACTTGACCAATTTTTAATTTTATTCAACAATTAAATTAATTCTAAAAAATTGCAATTTTTATTTTTTTTTTTTAATTTCTACATGTCAATTAATTTTTTCTTATTTTTTTTTGTCATTTATTTGTTAAAAAAAATTATCAAATATCTGCAAAATTAATTTTTAATAATATTAAAAGTTAGCAGTCTTAACAATTTTTTAATTTTATTTAACAAACAAATTTATTTCGAAAAATTATTTTTAAAAAATTCCAATTTTAACTTTTTAAAATTTCTTCATGTCAATTTTTTTTTCATAATTTATTTGTTAGAAAAATTCTAAAAATTGTTAAATGTCTGCTAAATTAATTTTCACAAGCAACCTTGCAGTCACTATGTGACTGCCGTGACTTGTCAACTATAAATAAATAAATAAAATTTTGCATTATCAAGTAAAGACTTTTGTTAAATTGCACTGTACTTTTTTAACTATTGACATTTTTAAAGATATAAGCTCATTTCGATGTCACACTTATCAAGAGCTTTCATTTGAGTACCCACATGCATTTTTGATATATTTTTCATACATACATATATATAATATATATAAATATATGAAAAATTGAAGTGGATACTTGAATGAAAGGTTTTGATGAGTGTAACATCGGGGTGAGCTTATATCTTTAAAAATGTCAAGAGTTCGCAAGATATCTGTTAAATTGCACTGTACTTTCTTAAATATTGACATTTTTAAAGATATAAGCTCATCCTGATGTTACACTCATCAAGAGCTTTCATTTGAGTACCCACATGCATTTTTGATATATTTTTCATACATACATATATATAATATATATAAATATATGAAAAATTGAAGTGGATACTTGAATGAAAGGTTTTGATGAGTGTAACATCGGGGTGAGCTTATATCTTTAAAAATGTCAATAGTTCACGAGATACAAGGTCATTTCTTAATTATGTATCTAGAGATAGAGCATTTTCTAATGCAGCCTAAATATTTATCATCATAAATTGACTATTGGTGAAAATGATATGATACCATGAAAAGGCGTAACTCCAGATCAAGATTTTTTCAACGATACCAAATTTAACCATAAAAACCCATTTTATCATATAAATATACTGGTCACAAAAATTTTGCTTACTGTCTTAATAATGTTGATTTTTTTTTTATTCTTTAAACTAAATTTGTAATTATAATTTTCAGTGACCCGGATTACAAAAACAAGCGCTTCAGTAATACAAAAGAAGAAATACCAAGTAAAGTTCCTAGATTGTCTCACAAAATAATAGATTTTAGCCAGAAAGAAGAAATAGAAAAAATTGATGACGTCAAAAAAGAAGCTCTCAGTGATTTAAGTAATTTAGCTGATATTAAAGACAGAATACTTGTCCCTAAAATGTATCAAACTAATCAATCCAACGAGCACGTTAAATTTACGAAGTTTGTTTGGAAGAGATTTTATGATCCCAGCGACCAAGAAGACGTCAGTCTTATTAAGACAATTTGTGTAGAATGTACTGATCAAGATAAATTTACCTACATCGCAACGTTGTCATTCACAACTTTGAATTCCATTGAATTAGCAGCATTGAATTCTGGTAAAATAATACTGGTTGTCTCTCACAGCCAATTCGATTCGTGGATCAGTAAATTTTTGATGTGGAGAACGGAATTCAGCAATCGGAATAAAATGAACTTGTACATTTTAAGCAAAGAAAATATGATTGACTTTGTAGAGTGGAGTGAAACAGGCGGTGTGCTTGTTATTAATTTTGATATGTTTCAACAAATTTATTATTTTAAACAAAGTATGGAAGTCGCGAAACAAAGCATTTATGATTGTATTTTTGATTCTGAAATTAATTTGTTCATTTTTGATCTTCTTTGCTCTGAAAATAAAGACGATTTGGATCTTGAAATTGTAAAGCAAATGACGAATTTAAAATTGATTTTTGGAATTGATCATAAAATCATTAATTTTGATGATCAATGCTATCATTATGCTGCAGAAAAGTAAATATTTAAAGTTTTCATTAAAACTTTATTTTTATTAATTACTTTCTTATTTAAGTTGCGTGATTTATAATCAATATTTGATTTTAATGACAGAAAAATCTTACAACTTGTGTATTAACTTAAAAAGTTAATATAAAAAAATGTTACTCATTTGAATTTAAATATTAATCAAGTTTAAACAATTATTTTTTATATTGATAAAAGAAAATATCAAGAATATAATGATTTAATAATATATAAAAAAAATATTTTCTATGTTTAAGTTTGATGAAGAAATATCTTTCTTATATCTTTTGTGTAAGAAGTTACTTTTTATTTACTGACGCTATACTAGTTTTTGTTTAAAAAGTTGCTTAAGCAACTCAATTAATTTAAGTTCGTGTGTTTTTTATTTTGTATCTTACATTGATAATTTAAATAAAAATTTTTATTCTTTAATGTATTTGATACTTTTATAAAAATGTTTTTGACATTTTGTAATAAATTTTGACAAAAGATATTGAATTGTTTGAACATTTGTCGTTCTTTATCAAAAGAGAATTATCAAAACTAATGACGAATATGTAAATTAAAAAAATAACATTTATTAGAAGACTAGCAAAAGTTGAGTTCTTCAACGATCATTAAGTATTTTTATAAACACTAGAATTTGAATTTACGCGCGCAAGCGCGCGCCTTGACTATAGAGTTTGCATATATTTTTATGCTTATGATATATTCGACCAATCACGTTACGAATAGTTTGATGCCACATACATTTCATCTCAATTTTATTATGGGATAACATTTATTAGAAGACTAGCAAAAGTTGAGTTCTTCAACGATCATTAAGTATTTTTATAAACACTAGAATTTGAATTTACGCGCGCAAGCGCGCGCCTTGACTATAGAGTTTGCATATATTTTTATGCTTATGATATATTCGACCAATCACGTTACGAATAGTTTGATGCCACATACATTTCATCTCAATTTTATTATGGGACTAGAATTTGAATTTACGCGCGCAAGCGCGCGCTTGACTATGGAATTTGCATATATTTTCATGCTTATGATATATTCGACCAATCACGTTACGAATAGTTTGATGCCACATACATTTCATCTCAATTTTATATTAGGAACGCGCGCAAGCGCGCGCTTGACTATGGAATTTGCATATATTTTCATGCTTATGATATATTCGACCAATCACGTTACGAATAGTTTGATGCCACATACATTTCATCTCAATTTTATATTAGGATGTTTTCTTATGTAACTGCTCTTGTCACTTAATGCTTAATAGAGCTCCAACAATTGTTTATTTGTTGTTTTAATGACATTAAAGTTAGCAGTCCATCTTTAATTTTCTAAAATTTCTATATATCAATTTTTTTTGCCACAATTTTTTTGTAAGAAAAATTTTTAAAATTGTCAAATATTTTTTAAATTAATTTTTATATTGTTTTATGATACTGAAATCACCAGATATCTGACAATCTTTTAGATTTCCATTAAAAATTTATTAAAAAAAAAAATGTATTTTTAAAAAATTCACACTTAATTTTTTTAATTTCTAGATGTAAATTTTTTTATTAAAATTTTTTGAAAACAATTTAGTTGTTTAAAAATCTAAAAAATTGACAGATTTCTTTTAATTTCATGATATTGAAATTAGCAGATTTAAAGAAGTTAATTTTATTTGAGAATTAAGAAAAAAATTGCAGCTATAGTTTTTTAAATTTTCTAAATGTGGAACTTTTTTTTTTTTTTTTTTTTTTTTTTTTTTTTTGGATAATTATTAAGTACAATTGATTAACGCGGCTGCCCAATTTTAAAACACAGTAACTGCAAAATTTTTATACCTGGTTTTTTTTTTAATATTGATGCATTTTTTATAACTTTTAAACCTTAATTTCAAGTATTTTTTCTTAAAAATATTTATATTTGAGTAGTTTCTATTTATAAATCAAATTTGTCATTAATTTGGCGGGCACACTTTTTTTTAATAAGAAAAATTGAAAAAAATTTTTAAATGTTAGTTACTGTGTTTTGAAATTGGACAGCCGAACTTTCCCAAAATTTTTCTATTTTCTGACCTAACTCGACGAACTGAGTCAGAAAATACATATATCATTAAACAGTTTATATATGTATGTACAATTCTTAAGGGAACTTAAATTAATAAAACTCAACATACTTATTCTATGGATGATTACAAAGGTCTAGTTCAAATTTGAGCTGAATCGGACAATTAGTTTAGAAATTGCAACATTTTAAAATTTTGAAAATTCGAAAATTCCATATTTTTTATGTTTTTTCTTCAATTAACTCTTGAACGTGTTGACATATTTAAATTCTGTAAAATACATCTGAAAGCTGAGAAAATAAGCTTCAATTTACATATTTAAATTTATTTCTAGACCTAAAAATATCTATTCTGGGTTAATTTCAATGAAATTTTACTCTTGCAGTCGTTTGGTTTGACTTGATGATTGTATTTTAGGGTAAAAGACCCCATTACTGACACTTTCTTTGATTTTGGTTTCTTATTCAATTAATTAAATTATTAATTTCAATAATGAATATTATATATTACTTCAAATCTTTAAGACATTTAGATCAAAAAAATTTTTATTCCAAGTAGAACATTTTTTCATTGAAAGAAAAAGTGCCACTAATAGGGGTTAAATGTGCTACTAATGGGGTCTTTTACTTTAATAATAAATAGAAATATTTTCAATAAGTTGATATTAGAGAATTCTACTTACAAAATTTACACTATTGCTGTAACAAAATCTGCAAATGCTTATTTTGATATACAAACTTAATTCTAAATAGTTTTAAATTAATTATTGAATTTTTTTTTTTTTCTAATAAATGAATCGAGTTATATTTATATTATTATTAACATTATTTTATAAAAGATAAATTTTTTTTATTTGACGAATCTATTTGAGAAAACAGTTTTGAATAATTATTTGGCTTTATAATATTATTTTTTTAATTAATTAAAACATACCCTAGCTATATATTTTTTATTCCAAGATATCAAAAAATTAAGTCAATTTTTTTTTCTTTATAATTTGTAATTCTTTGCTGTAACATGGTGATTCCAAATTGCTAATTGTAATAATTTTATTATTATTATGATTATTATTATCATAAAATTTCTATAATTAAAAAAAAAAAAAAAAATTATCTAAATTATAATTCGACAGTAACTTTAAGAAAAAAAGTTTTTCAATTCTTAAACAATTTTTTTTTAACTTAAACTCGTAATTTAAAATAATTTTTTTTACATTTCAGATGAGTAAAGTGCTAAGAACAACACGAATCCCCCAAGATAGGTGAGAATTAGCAGAAATTATCAAAATAATTACTATCATGATAATTATTTTTACTGGAAGGATTTATAAATTTCAAATTTTTATTGTAAGAACGCATTTGTTAATTGATCAATTAATCTAGACCATTGATTAATTAACAAATAATGCTATCACTTCTGTCCATTTATATAAAAAAAGCTACTGCTCAATGTTATAATTTTTTAAATTCGTACTATAGGTTTTTATTATCATCACTGATGCTGGAGTTGGTGAATTTTTTTTAACAAATTGACTCTGTTTTTTAAATTTTATTTTTATTTCTTCTGATTCTTTATCAACTTTTAATAATTAAGAATTAATTGACAGTCAGTATTTTATGATTAATTAAGTAATAGTAATTGGTAAATAATAAAAATAAATATTAGTCAATAATTATGTCAATCCAGTGTTTGTCACTAATTTTAGTCTCAGGTTTACAAAAATTTAAATGCTGATATTTCAATGCATAATAAATCGTGTCTCTAATATTAAACACAATCAGCATTGAGTTGATGAATTTATGAATAATTTTTATTAATTTAATTTAAGATAATTCTGTGAATTAATTGTCAAAAAATGAGAACAAAAAAAAAAAAAACGCGGATGTGTGCCTTTAGATTGTAAAAATATTTAACAAATTTATGTTAATAAATTGTGAGATAAATAATTGTGAATTTATTAAAAATCATTGTTTAATTATATTAACTTGAACAAATTAACAATAAATAAATTTTTTTAATATTACCGACACGATAAATTACACTTATTTCAATTTTAATTACAATAAGTTTAATAAATAATTAACTAATTTAATCAATTAAAAAAAATAGACAAGTGCACGTTACCTCACGAAATAAAAAAAAAAAATCACGAATTATCTGACAGTTAAAAAAAATAAATGTAAAATTATACTTTCATACTAACAATTAATAATAAATAAATTAAAGAGTATATTTAATAACAAAATAAAGTTTAAAAATAAAAATAAAAACATTAAATCACAATTGACCTTTATAGTCTGTAAGTCCACGTAAATTTGCTGTGAAAATAAAAATTAATCAATAAATAAGTTAAAAAAAAATATATAAAATTATCACTAATAAATTATTTATTGATTAATTTTTATTTTCACAGCAAATTTACGTGGACTTACAGACTATAAAGGTCAATTGTGATTTAATGTTTTTATTTTTATTTTTAAACTTTATTTTGTTATTAAATATACTCTTTAATTTATTTATTATTAATTGTTAGTATGAAAGTATAATTTTACATTTATTTTTTTTAACTGTCAGATAATTCGTGATTTTTTTTTTTTATTTCGTGAGGTAACGTGCACTTGTCTATTTTTTTTAATTGATTAAATTAGTTAATTATTTATTAAACTTATTGTAATTAAAATTGAAATAAGTGTAATTTATCGTGTCGGTAATATTAAAAAAATTTATTTATTGTTAATTTGTTCAAGTTAATATAATTAAACAATGATTTTTAATAAATTCACAATTATTTATCTCACAATTTATTAACATAAATTTGTTAAATATTTTTACAATCTAAAGGCACACATCCGCGTTTTTTTTTTTTTGTTCTCATTTTTTGACAATTAATTCACAGAATTATCTTAAATTAAATTAATAAAAATTATTCATAAATTCATCAACTCAATGCTGATTGTGTTTAATATTAGAGACACGATTTATTATGCATTGAAATATCAGCATTTAAATTTTTGTAAACCTGAGACTAAAATTAGTGACAAACACTGGATTGACATAATTATTGACTAATATTTATTTTTATTATTTACCAATTACTATTACTTAATTAATCATAAAATACTGACTGTCAATTAATTCTTAATTATTAAAAGTTGATAAAGAATCAGAAGAAATAAAAATAAAATTTAAAAAACAGAGTCAATTTGTTAAAAAAAATTCACCAACTCCAGCATCAGTGATGATAATAAAAACCTATAGTACGAATTTAAAAAATTATAACATTGAGCAGTAGCTTTTTTTATATAAATGGACAGAAGTGATAGCATTATTTGTTAATTAATCAATGGTCTAGATTAATTGATCAATTAACAAATGCGTTCTTACAATAAAAATTTGAAATTTATAAATCCTTCCAGTAAAAATAATTATCATGATAGTAATTATTTTGATAATTTCTGCTAATTCTCACCTATCTTGGGGGATTCGTGTTGTTCTTAGCACTTTACTCATCTGAAATGTAAAAAAAAATTATTTTAAATTACGAGTTTAAGTTAAAAAAAAATTGTTTAAGAATTGAAAAACTTTTTTTCTTAAAGTTACTGTCGAATTATAATTTAGATAATTTTTTTTTTTTTTTTTAATTATAGAAATTTTATGATAATAATAATCATAATAATAATAAAATTATTACAATTAGCAATTTGGAATCACCATGTTACAGCAAAGAATTACAAATTATAAAGAAAAAAAAATTGACTTAATTTTTTGATATCTTGGAATAAAAAATATATAGCTAGGGTATGTTTTAATTAATTAAAAAAATAATATTATAAAGCCAAATAATTATTCAAAACTGTTTTCTCAAATAGATTCGTCAAATAAAAAAAATTTATCTTTTATAAAATAATGTTAATAATAATATAAATATAACTCGATTCATTTATTAGAAAAAAAAAAAAATTCAATAATTAATTTAAAACTATTTAGAATTAAGTTTGTATATCAAAATAAGCATTTGCAGATTTTGTTACAGCAATAGTGTAAATTTTGTAAGTAGAATTCTCTAATATCAACTTATTGAAAATATTTCTATTTATTATTAAAGTAAAAGACCCCATTAGTAGCACATTTAACCCCTATTAGTGGCACTTTTTCTTTCAATGAAAAAATGTTCTACTTGGAATAAAAATTTTTTTGATCTAAATGTCTTAAAGATTTGAAGTAATATATAATATTCATTATTGAAATTAATAATTTAATTAATTGAATAAGAAACCAAAATCAAAGAAAGTGTCAGTAATGGGGTCTTTTACCCTAAAATACAATCATCAAGTCAAACCAAACGACTGCAAGAGTAAAATTTCATTGAAATTAACCCAGAATAGATATTTTTAGGTCTAGAAATAAATTTAAATATGTAAATTGAAGCTTATTTTCTCAGCTTTCAGATGTATTTTACAGAATTTAAATATGTCAACACGTTCAAGAGTTAATTGAAGAAAAAACATAAAAAATATGGAATTTTCGAATTTTCAAAATTTTAAAATGTTGCAATTTCTAAACTAATTGTCCGATTCAGCTCAAATTTGAACTAGACCTTTGTAATCATCCATAGAATAAGTATGTTGAGTTTTATTAATTTAAGTTCCCTTAAGAATTGTACATACATATATAAACTGTTTAATGATATATGTATTTTCTGACTCAGTTCGTCGAGTTAGGTCAGAAAATAGAAAAATTTTGGGAAAGTTCGGCTGTCCAATTTCAAAACACAGTAACTAACATTTAAAAATTTTTTTCAATTTTTCTTATTAAAAAAAAGTGTGCCCGCCAAATTAATGACAAATTTGATTTATAAATAGAAACTACTCAAATATAAATATTTTTAAGAAAAAATACTTGAAATTAAGGTTTAAAAGTTATAAAAAATGCATCAATATTAAAAAAAAAACCAGGTATAAAAATTTTGCAGTTACTGTGTTTTAAAATTGGGCAGCCGAGTTGTGTCATGAGAACAAATACGATAGTTAGATTTTGATGAAATCTACTAAAAATTGAAAATCACAAAAAAATTATATAAAATTTTAAAGAGCCACAAATTTACATCCAAAGCTTTTTTACGATACCAAATTTTACTAACAAAATAGCTTTAAAAAAAAAAAATGCCCATCTAGAAATTTTTTTAAATTTAAATAAATTCAATTTTTGTAAAGTAAATTTTTTTTTCTTACTGAAAAAACTTTTCATTTTTTATCAATTCAATTTTCAATTAAAAAAAAAAAAAAAAAAAAAAAAAAAAAAAAAAAAAAAAAAAAAATAAATTCAATTTTTGTAAAGTAAATTTTTTTTTCTTACTGAAAAAACTTTTCATTTTTTTAATCATTCAATTTCAATTAAAAAAAAAAAAAAAAAAAAAAAAAAAAAAAAAAAAAAATTCCACAGTACCATTAAAAAAATTAAATTCTCCCCCAGATTAAAAAAAAAAAAATACCTGATACCGAGATTCATTTTCCACAGTCCCAACGACAGCAACAATCTGATACTGTCTAGCCTTCATAGCAGCGGTGGACTTCCTGATCAACCGCATAGCACCAGGCGCACTGCTCGTGCTATTAAACTGTCCCATCTGGACGGGAGTGTGACTAGGATCCAGAACGAGCATAGTAATAGAGCCATCTCTTAATTGTTCAACCCCCATGATAGTCCTGCTGTGTCCTTGATGCTGAAGATAGAGCGGTGGCTTGAACTCGTCATTCCTCTGAAAGTACTGAAGGACCCACTGGAACATCTCCGGGTGACTTCCATCAGGAGAAGTTGGCCGATGAAAGTCCACGAGCTGGCAGCGTATCCTGAGACTGGACAGCAGCGTGACGACTTCGGTGGCTCCAATCCACTTTCTGGTGTTGACGAGCTTTCCTCCGAGCTGCTCAGCACCTTGAACGTCGAAACCGAGCGACCAGGCCCACTCGATCATCCTCTGGAGCCTTGATATCGAGGGCATGGAGCTGCGCATGGGATTCGCCGTAGAACCGGCGGCTACTGAGCTCCAGGCGCGGTACACCAGCTCGTTGAAGCCAGTGTGCTGCAGCAGGGAAGAAATCAGCATCTGGGTATTTCTGTACCCGCAGCCCCAGCCCTTGTCTCCGTAGGTAGAGGCGTAGTGGTCCACTGTTGAACACATCCAGGTGTTGATAACGTTGTGGCAAGCTTGGGAGACTGCTCGTACCCGCGAAACCAGTCCGCGGGTACACGAACTCCCGTCATCAATCCCGTTGTTCTCTGCAGCTTTTAGCTCTATCTGCCGCTCGTAGTAATCAGCAACAGTCATCTCTCCAGCGTAAACCGCGCGCTGCATGTTTGTCACACTTTGCTCCCGGAAGTTCCCCTGGTTGTCCATTCCGTACTGAGCTCGGAGCATCTCAAATTCTCTTTGCTCCCGTAGTTTTCTAACCTCCTTCTCCCGGCGTTCCATGTCCCGGGCCAGCATCCGGTCGCTTGACGTCAGAGAACTGTCTGCGACGTCTATCGGCGAGGGTGTGCTGCTTTTCTTTGCAAAGTGCTCTTCTATGTGGACGGTTAGCTCTTCGTTTGTGCGGAAAGACGTGCTCAGGCACACTGGACATGCTGGTGGCTCGTTTGATGACACCTCGGGGGTTGATGTTGTACCTTTTGCTGGACTGAAAATTGTTTATTATTATTAATTTAAAGTTTTTTTATTACTAGTAATAGATTGAAAAAAATAGAAATTTTTTTTTTTTAACCAAATGTTTATCATGCTTGTAATTACTTTACGGGAAATATATTAATATCATAATCTATATTATTAAGAGAATAAGAAAAATTTTGTGTCCAGAATAGTCATATGATAAAATTGATTTTTTTTTAGTGAAATTTAGTGTCATTGCAAAGGTCTTGATTTGAATTTGTACCTTTTCAAGATTTTATATTCTCACCAATAGTCAATTTATGATGATAAGTATTTAGGCTGCATTTGACAATTCTCTATCTCTAGATACATAATTAAGAAATGACCTTGTATCTTGAAAACTATTGACATTTTTAAAGATATAAGCTCACCCTGACATTACACTTATCAAAACCTTTCATTTGAGTACCCACATCAATTTTTCATATATTTATATATATTATATACATGTATATATAAATATATATAAAAATGCATGTGGGTACTCAAATGAAAGCTCTTGATAAGTGTAACATCGGGATGAGTTAATATCTTTAAAAACGTCAATAGTTAAGAAAGTACAGTGCAATTTAACAAAATTCATTATTTAATAAAGCAAAATTTTATTTATTTATAGTTTGCAAGTCATGGTAGTCACATAGTGACTGCAAAATTACGGTGACCCCTCATAATTTCTCAGTCTTAAATATCTTGATAAATATATCTCGACAATCATATCTCAGACAATAATATCTCGTGTGTTTTGGCCTATTTTTGAGCATAAAAACACCCAAAAAACCATGTTAAAGGGCGCAACACGATTACGGGGGTTTGTGTTGGCCTATTTTCGAGCATAAAATCGGCACAAAAATTCAAAATTCCACCGAGAAATTTATAATTGAGATATTATTGTCTCGAGATGTTATTGCTGAGATATAAAGAGGGGTAGCCCAAAATTACTAATTAATATTATTATTATTATAATATGATTTTTCTTAAATAAAAAATCATGAACAATTATTCAATTTTAACATTAAGATAATTTTTCATAAATAAATTTTTATGATGATATTTTTTTAAATATTATATCTGCTAATAAATTTATTTAAGAAGTTTATTTTCAAAAGATTACAAAAATTTTCTAATTTTATTAATAATTTTGTAAGTTTAATCTAGAATTTGATTTATTTGTTTATTTTCATAATAAAATCCTGCTTTTTTATTTTAACGTGTTTTCGTCTTGTAATTTTACAAATACTGTCTGTATATTAAAATGTCACTGAATAAAAAAATTTTTTTAAACGTTGTTAAACGTTACCTGAGAATATCTTTGTGCTCTATGTTGACATGTAATTCAAGGTCTGACGGGTTAGGAAACGATGTTACACACAGAGGACAATTGTATGAGCCATCACGAGTAGGCGGTGACTCTGGAGGAAATGACGGTGAAGTGAGATCAAAGTGCTGTCGATTAATATGCTCTTCTAGTTTTGAGGGATTGTCGGAACTAAATGGACACATCGGACACTCCTGAACACGGGGCTTTGGCGTTGCGTATGAACGTAATTGTAAATTTAAGCTCGTACGAAGTGGTGAACCGTGTCCTGCTGAGTGTTCACCTGCAGTAATTAAAAAAGTTTTTTAGTTTTATAAAATTATATCTGTAATACTGAAGACATTAAATGGTATTAAGAATATTAAAAAAATAAAACTAAATTAATAATTCTTACTTTAAATTATTTTTAATCAATATAAATTTTTAGACTTAAAAAATAAGTTATCTTTATTATTAAATATTTGAAAAAATTAGATTTATAAGTTTTTTTTAGATTCTTATGAATGAAGTTTTTTTTTTTGTCAAGTTTTAAAAAATTTTTAATAGATGCCTTTGATATTTTTAGTATCATGAATTTTAATAATACTGTAATTAACGTCTGGCACTTTTTTTTTTTTTCTCTAAAGAAATGAGTTATTGTAAGTTGTTTGAAAAGTCTGTATTTAATTAAATTGTTTGTGTATTTAATATTTTTTTTTTTTTCAGTGTTTGGAAAAAAAAAAATCAATAACTATAGTGTTAGAAAATTTGAAATTATAAACATCTTTGATGATGTTAAAGTTAGCTGACAACTGTCAATTTTCTTAATTTTTATATCAAATCAATTACACTAAAAAAAATGCTTTTAAAAATTTTCACTAATAATCTATATTATTAAGAGAATAAGAAAAATTTTGTCTCCAGGATAGGCACATGATAAAATCTGTATTTTAGTGAAATTTAGTGTAATTAAAAATGTTTTGACTTGAATTTGTGCCTTTTCAAAGTTTTATATCATTCTTATCAATAGTTAATTTATAATGATAGGTATTTAGGCTGCATTCGAAAAAGCTCTAGCTCCTAGCTATATACTAAAAAAAATGACCTTATATCTTGTGAACTATTGAGATTTTTGAAGAAATAAGCTCACCCCGACATTACACTCATTGAGACCTTTCATTTGACTACTTACATCAATTTTTCATATATTTTATATATTTATATATACTATATATATATATATATATATATATATATATATATATATATATATATATATATAAAAAATATGTCAAAATGCAAATGGGTACTTAAATGAAAGCTCATGATAAGTGTAACATCAGGATGAGCTTATATCTTTAAAATATATATTACGTAATTAAGAAATGACCTTGTATCTTGTGAAATTTTGACATTTTTTAAGATATAAGCTCATCCTGATGTTACACTCATCGAGACCTTTCATTTGACTACCCACATCAATTTTTCATATATATTTCATATATTTATATATATTACATATATGTATGTATATGAAAAATATATCAAAAATGCATGTGGGTACTCAAATGAAAGCTCTTGATGAGTGTAACATCAAGATAAGCTTATACCTTTAAAAACGTCAATAGTTAAGAAAGTACAGTACACTTTAACAAAAGTCAATATATAATTAAGAAAAATTTTATTTATTATAGTTCGCAATTTTCGGTAGTCACATTGTGACTGCAGTTTGTTAGTTTTTTTTTAATTTTCACATATGGAATTTTTTAATTAAATTTTTTTCATAATAATTTCATTGCTATAAAGTTATAAAAAAAAAAAACTTTTAATGGCTGTCAACTTCAGTGTCATCCATATTTGTCAATATTTTTGTCTTCACTATTAAATATTTAGTTGAAAAATAATAATACATACTACAATCATCAGACGTTTGATAATTTTTTTGGACAAATAAATTATCAAAAAAAAATTGTGAATGATATTTTTTTGAATAATATTTTTAGTTTAAATTTAAATAAAAAAAAAAATGATCAGATAAAAGAATTATAAAATAAATAGTTACCATTAATGCTACTAGCTGGAGTATTATTATTATTATTAATATTATTGACATTAGACGTTGACGAATGATTTTTAGGAGAATCATTCGACGAGGATGATTTATAATTACAACTCGAAGATTCTCCATTCCTAGCAGATGACTCGCTCCAACCGTTAAGCATATGCGGGCGAGTAAACAGCGAAGATGAGGAGGACGATAAATCTTGTGACTCTTCTTCTTTTATCGAGTCATCCATCAGGGAATCATCGTCAATGAACGCCATCATGTCATTCTCCGGAGTGCTAAAACAAGACCACATTTGAATAATTAATTAATTAATTCAATTACGTAACGGAGCGCTAAATAATTCATATCTATTTTTTTATTATTTGCTGTCACTGTGATTTATTATTTTTTATCGTAAATCCTAATATTTGATATTTGTTAAGAACACATTGTATATTATCACCATTAATTTTTCACACTTGTCAGAATTATCATTTATTTAAATTATTTTTCAATTACCGTTTACGCTTCCTGCTGCATCCGATTTGATTTTTTATCGTCATTATTGATTTTATTTTTTATTTTTTATTTTTTATTTTTTATACCCGGAAAAAAATTTACAAATTTAAATGAAATTGTCACTTTTATAAAAGAGTTATTAAAAATTTTTTTTGTACATTAATTTATTTTATTGTCTTTGATAATAAATAAAAATTTTAATAATTAGAACGCACAATTTTTGAGTGCATATTGAATGTTAGGCTTGGGGATTTTAGGTTAATGTGTAACGTTTTTTTTTGACAAAAAAAAATTGTGCGAAACACACACAGCTGTCAGAAGAACTAACAGTTGGTAAGTTATATTTTTTTCCCGCGTTAAAATTTGAAAAATTCAATTTCTTAATTTTGTTGAGTAATTTTTTTTTCTTCATAAGTTAAAAATTATCAATCTAAAAATTTTTATAAAAAATTAACATGACATTAAAGTTAGCAGCCACTACAGAATTTTTTAATTTTTTTTTAACAAACAAATTTGTTCAAAAAATTACTTTTAAAAAATTGTATTTTTATTTTTAAAATTTCTACATGTCAATTTTTTTTCTAATTTTTTTGCCATAATTTATTTAAAAAAAAAAAATTCTAAAATTATTAAATAGGTATCTGCTAAATTTATTTGAATAAAAATTAACTCTCGCTAATAATAATAATTATGTAATTTTTTAAAATTTTTAAAAGTTTTATAAAAAATTAAATTTATTCACAAAATAACGAGATAATTTTATAAAAATTTATTTGTACAAAAATAAATTTTTTATTTAAAAATTAAAAATTAAAATGTTTAATGCTTAGGCATACGATTTTTTAAAATGTTAAAATTGTAATTATCGAAAAAAAATATATAAGTTCAAGTGTACTTCAGTAATTACATAAATTTAAATGTAAAATTAGGTATGAAATATTTAACCAATGTAATGTAGAAGGATAAAATTTTTTTTCAAACTAAAAAATATTTTCTAAGAACCCATTTGTTTTTCTATTTGCACTCATTAAAAGACACCGTACTATTTTTGTTGCACTTGTACTGTAAATAAAAATTAAAAAAAATTAAAAACTTTAAAAAAACGCTGTGCTAATAAATAGATAATAAATAGATTTATAAATGATTTATTGTCTGTCAGAGCATTTTTTTGAAAAATTTTATTTGTTTAGAAGAAATTTACCAAGCTACAATGCTAGGGAAGATTTTTCAAAACAAGAATTTTGGAAGAAAATATTCTGCTTAAAAAAAATATTTATTTTTTCCATGTTTTTCCTAACTATTTTTTTGAATAAATTACATTTCTTCGTTAATGTAAGACTGAAAAAAATTACAACTTAAAAGATTTATTGTTAAAAAATTTCAATTTTTTTCATTGATAATAATTTATTTATGAAAATGAAGTTAGTCGACATTTCAAAATTTTTAGAAATTTTTTTATTGAAAAAATTTCAATTAAACAATAAAAAAAAAAAAAAATTTTTAATTTTTTTTTTAACAAACAAATTTGTTCAAAAAAATTACTTTTAAAAAATTGTATTTTTTATTTTTTAAAATTTCTACATGTCAATTTTTTTTTCTAATTTTTTTTGCCATAATTTATTTAAAAAAAAAAAAATTCTAAAAATTATTAAATAGGTATCTGCTAAATTTATTTGAATAAAATTAACTCTCGCTAATAATAATAATTATGTAATTTTTTAAAATTTTTAAAAGTTTTATAAAAAATTAAATTTATTCACAAAATAACGAGATAATTTTATAAAAATTTATTTGTACAAAAATAAATTTTTTATTTAAAAATTAAAAATTAAAATGTTTAATGCTTAGGCATACGATTTTTTAAAATGTTAAAATTGTAATTATCGAAAAAAAATATATAAGTTCAAGTGTACTTCAGTAATTACATAAATTTAAATGTAAAATTAGGTATGAAATATTTAACCAATGTAATGTAGAAGGATAAAATTTTTTTTCAAACTAAAAAATATTTTCTAAGAACCCATTTGTTTTTCTATTTGCACTCATTAAAAGACACCGTACTATTTTTGTTGCACTTGTACTGTAAATAAAAATTAAAAAAAATTAAAAACTTTAAAAAAACGCTGTGCTAATAAATAGATAATAAATAGATTTATAAATGATTTATTGTCTGTCAGAGCATTTTTTTGAAAAATTTTATTTGTTTAGAAGAAATTTACCAAGCTACAATGCTAGGGAAGATTTTTCAAAACAAGAATTTTGGAAGAAAATATTCTGCTTAAAAAAAATATTTATTTTTTCCATGTTTTTCCTAACTATTTTTTTGAATAAATTACATTTCTTCGTTAATGTAAGACTGAAAAAAATTACAACTTAAAAGATTTATTGTTAAAAAATTTCAATTTTTTTCATTGATAATAATTTATTTATGAAAATGAAGTTAGTCGACATTTCAAAATTTTTAGAAATTTTTTTATTGAAAAAATTTCAATTAAACAATAAAAAAAAAAAAAAA